CTAGGTAGCCAGCAGGTAAGTCTATCACTTTCAATCGCTAACTCAGGTAAAATTTATCCTTCTTAGATCTCTGATTTGACAACCACATTTTGTCAGTCCAACAGCAGCAACCGAGGCTTCAGCTGCCTTCTCAGTTCTCTGTGTAAAATTCACAGGCCTCATTCTCTTAGAGCTGATACTAAGTCTAGACACAGTTCACCTTCCTACCAGACTCAAAAAGGGATAAACTCACTTTGCAATGACTGCTCTCATTGTGAATTCTTCTGGTGAATTATCTCCTGGTGAATTAGAAAAAAAGAAGGAAGCCAGGTGGCAGTAAGAGCACTCCTTTAATCCCAGCACTCAAGAGGCAGAGCCAGGCAGATCTCTGTGAGTTCAAGGGCAGCCTGGTCTACAGAGTGAGTTCCGGGACAGGCACCAAAACTACACAAAGAAACCCTGTCTCAAAAAAAAAAAAAAAAAAGAAAGAAAGAAAGAAAGAAAGAAAAAAGAAAAAAGAAAAAGAGAAGGTGCTTTAAGGTTTGTTTATGTGAAGGTAGGTAGGAAAGTTGTCTCACTTCTGTTCACTTACTTATCCTTCTCAGATCTCATAGTGTTTGCCAGTTCTAACTGCTCTCTCCACCAACTCCAAGGAACCTTGGTAGCTCATTAGTAAGTTTCCTGTTAAAAGTACAGACAGGTGTGCCTCATTCATAGCCTTCATTATACAGGATAAACTGGTTTCAGATGTAACTTTAGAGGTTCAGGGTTTCAACACTGATAAATACAGTTTTAATAAACTGATAGAGTACTGACTACAGACAGTCTTGGGAGTCCTTAAACTTCTGTGGACTTGACTGGACCCAGCTTGTAGAGACAGGCTAGCATTAGAGAGGTTATGGAAGACTTCCTCCTCCTCCTTCACTCACTCAACCACTTCCATTCAGTAAATTTCGTCTGGTTAGAGATTTAATGATGTGTTTCACTGGGCTGAAACCAGGCCCAAGAAATGTTCATACCTTTTAACCCCAAACCACAGCTTTTGCTATGACACCAAGATATAAGTCTGTTCCAGTTGTTTTACAAACACTTTGCAAGTTCCTGCACAGATCTACCCCTCCTGCGAGACTCGTGCCAAGGTCAGACCCTGAAAAGGCCCTCCAGATACACCACCATTGTATCCACCAAGGACACCAACCAGGTGAATACTGGCAGGTTGGCTTCAGCCACAAGCCCACTTATAAAAACTCCATCATCTCCTAATTTGTTGACACTTTTACAGGATGGATGGGGGCATTTCCCACCTCCAGAGAAACAG